CCGGTGAGATTTGAACAGCCGAACTGCAGAACTGCAGTCAGCTGAAGTAGCCTGCAGTGCTGCATTTAACCACTGCGCCACCTCGGCTCTTATTTGGGAAAATAATACAGGCAGGATAGAAATAAATAGATGTCCATTTTTTAAAAAGCTGTTTGCAGGGAGGGGGGCGAGCAGAGCCTTTCCAAGCCTTCCCTCCCCCCTCAACGTGGTCTACCTTGCAGGGCTGGCGTTGTGCTTGCTTTCCCTTCCAAATAGGCAGACTGCTGGAAGGAGGGGGAGGGGGAGGGGGCCCCTTCTGCTTCCTCAGCCTGCTTGCGTCTCTCCCTCCCCTGGGACGACAAGTCCCATCCTCCTCCTCCACCTGGCGCAACAATGATGCTCCGCGAAGGGCCAGGCTGGGAGAACAGGTGGGCGGACCTTGCGAACTCCAACTCCCGGCATGCCTGGCCGACGTGCTGCGGCGCAAAGGCCTCTGGGAGTCGTAGTTCGCTTGCAGCTGGAGCCCGCCTGCGGGACGAGGAAGACGGGAAAGGTCTCTTGTGGGCTTCTCTCCAAGGTAGACTGCCTCTGGGTGGGGAGGTGCAGACCAGCCCCTCTTCTCTCCAAGCCCCCCTGGGATCCCAAGCAACCCCGGGACGGGTTCGAGCCTCTTTCTTTGCAAAAGTCAACAATGCAAATCTTTTCTGCCCCCACCCCCCAATGGCATTTTTTTTTTGCCTGTTGCACGGACTGAAGCATTGGCTTCCCCCCCTCCCCAAATCAGGAAAGGACCCCCCAAGAGATCTGTGGGACGTTGCAAAGTTCTTTTCTCTTTTTTGCAGCTGGTAAAGATTTCGGATACTGGAGGGCTGGGAGCAAAACAGAGCAAGCAAATTGCAAATCTCTTTTATCTTTTGTGCTTTAATTTGTGCAGCCGTGTGGCTTCGGAGGTCCCCTTTGTAGATTCGGTGTCCCGAGTTGTATTTCTGGTGGGTTGTTGTGGGCCTGGCATACAGAAGCGGAAAGGGTCAGATTGCTAAGAAAAAAATTGGAAATGATTTGATTTGATTTATTGCAAGGGGCATTTCAATGCAGAAAAATGCAATCTAATAAGGGATGGGTTTTATTTGCAAAAGGAAACCGCTTATTGGCCTCCACAAAGTGATCAACGTATCAACCCCCCACCCCCCCCCCAAAGTTACAACCGTGCTGGACATCCAACTGATTTTAATGTTTTTGGTTTTGGGGGCTATTTCCCATCACCTTCTGCACGACTATAACCTTGTTGCTTGTATCTTTACGATTTACATAGTTTTATTTAGTTTCCTAGTATGATTTGATTGCCTAGTTAGTATCTAAACCAGTGTTTCTCAACCTTGGCAACTTGAAGATGTCCGGACTTCAACTCCCAGAATTCCC